AAAAACCATACAAAGAATTAATGAAACAAAAAGTTGGTTCTTTGAAAAAATAAACAAGATCGATAGACCCCTGGCAAACCTGACTAAAATGAGGAGAGAAAAAACCCAAATTAGTAGAATCAGGAATGCAAAAGGGGAGATAACAACAAACACCATGGAAGTCCAGGAAATCATCAGAGACTACTTTGAGAACCTATATTCAAATAAATTTGAAAATCTAAAAGAAATGGACAGATTTCTAGATACATATGATCATCCAAAACTGAACCAAGAGGAAATTAATCACCTGAATAGACCTATAACACAAAATGAAATTGAAGCAGCAATCAAGAGTCTCCCCAAAAAGAAAAGTCCAGGACCTGATGGATTCTCTGCTGAATTCTATCAGACCTTTAAAGAAAACTGATACCAACCCTCCTTAAACTGTTCCATGAAATAGAAAGGGAAGGAAAACTGCCAAACACATTTTATGAAGCCAGTATTACACTTATCCCAAAACCAGGCAAAGACACCTCCAAAAAGGAGAACTATAGGCCAATCTCCTTAATGAACATTGATGCAAAAATCCTCAACAAAATAATGGCAAACGAATTCAGCAACACATCAAAAAGATTATTCACCACGACCAAGTAGGCTTCATCCCAGGGATGCAGGGTGGTTCAACATACGAAAATCAATAAACGTAATAAACCACATTAACAGAAGCAAAGACAAAAACCACTTGATCATCTCAATAGATGCAGAAAAAGCCTTTGATAAGATCCAACATCATTTCATGATAAAAGCTCTAAGAAAACTAGGAATAGAAGGAAAGTTCCTCAACATTATAAAAGCTATATATGACAAACCTACAGCCAGCATTATACTTAACGGAGAAAAACTAAAACCATTCCCTCTAAAATCAGGAACCAGACAAGGATGCCCACTATCTCCACTCCTATTCAACATAGTACTGGAATTCCTAGCCAGAGCAATTAGGCAAGAAGAAGGAATAAAAGGAATACAAATAGGTAAAGAAACTGTCAAAATATCCCTATTTGCAGACGACATGATCCTATACCTTAAAGACCCAAAAAACTCTACTCAGAAGCTTCTAGACATCATCAATAGCTATAGCAAGGTAGCAGGATATAAAATCAACATAGAAAAATCATTAGCATTTCTATACACTAACAATGAGCAAACGGAAAAAGAATGTATGAAAACAATTCCATTTACAATAGCCTCAAAAAAATCAAATACCTAGGTGTAAACCTAACAAAAGATGTGAAAGACCTCTACAAGGAAAACTATACACTTCTGAAGAAAGAGATTGAGGAAGACTATAGAAAGTGGAGAGATCTCCCATGCTCATGGATTGGTAGAATCAACATAGTAAAAATGTCGATACTCCCAAAAGTAATCTACATGTTTAATGCAATTCCCATCAAAATTCCAATGACATTCATTAAAGAGATTGAAAAATCTACTGTTAAATTTATATGGAAACACAAGAGGCCACGAATAGCCAAGGCAATACTCAGTCAAAAGAACAATGCAGGAGGTATCACAATACCTGACTTCAAACTATATTACAAAGCAATAACAATAAAAACAGCATGGTACTGGCACAAAAACAGACATGAAGACCAGTGGAACAGAATAGAGGATCCAGATATGAAGCCACACAACTATAAGCAACTTATCTTTGACAAAGGAGCTAAAAATATACGATGGAGAAATAGCAGCCTCTTCAACAAAAACTGCTGGGAAAACTGGTTAGCAGTCTGCAAAAAACTGAAACTAGATCCATGTATATCACCCTATACCAAGATTAACTCAAAATGGATCAAGGATCTTAATATCAGACCCCAAACTCTTAAGTTGATACAAGAAAGAGTAGGAAATACTCTGGAGTTAGTAGGTATAGGTAAGAACTTTCTCAATGAAACCCCAGCAGCACAGCAACTAAGAGATAGCATAGATAAATGGGACCTCATAAAACTAAAAAGCTTCTGTTCATCAAAAGAAATGGTCTCTAAACTGAAGAGAACACCCACAGAGTGGGAGAAAATATTTGCCAACTATACATCAGACAAAGGACTGATAACCAGAATATACAGGGAACTTAAAAAACTAAATTCTCCCAAAACTAATGAACCAATAAAGAAATGGGCAGTGAACTAAACAGAACTTTCTCAAAAGAAGAAATTCAAATGGCCAGAAAACACATGAAAAAATGCTCACCATCTCTAGCAATAAAGGAAATGCAAATTAAAACCACACTAAGATTCCACCTCACCCCTGTTAGAATAGCCATCATCAGCAACACCACCAACAACAGGTGTTGGCGAGGATGCGGGGAAAAAGGAACCCTCTTACACTGTTGGTGGGAATGTAGACTAGTACAACCACTCTGGAAAAAAATTTGGAGGCTACTTAAAAAGCTGGACATCGATCTACCATTTGATCCAGCAATACCACTCTTGGGGATATACCCAAAAGACTGTTACTCCAGAGCACCTGCACATCCATGTTTATTGCGGCACTATTCACAATAGCCAAGTTATGGAAACAGCCAAGATGCCCCACACTGACGAATGGATTAAGAAAATGTGGTATCTATACACAATGGAATTTTATGCAGCCATGAAGAAGAACGAAATGTTATCATTCGCTGGTAAATGGATGGAATTGGAGAACATCATTCTGAGTGAGGTTAGCCTGGCCAAAAGACCAAAAATCGTATGTTCTCCCTCATATGTGGACATTAGATCAAGGGCAAACACAACAAGGGATTGGACTATGAGCACATGATAAAAGCGAGAGCACACAAGGGAGGGGTGAGGATAGGTAAGACACCTAAAAAACTAGCTAGCATTTGTTGCCCTTAATGCAGAGAAACTAAAGCAGATACCTTAAAGCAACTGAGGCCAATAGGAAAAGGGGACCAGGAACTAGAGAAAAGGTTAGATCAAAAAGAATTAACCTAGAAGGTAACACCCACGCACAGGAAATCAATGTGAGTCAATGCCCTGTATAGCTATCCTTATCTCAACCAGCAAAAACCCCTTGTTCCTTCCTATTATTGCTTATACTCTCTCTACAACAAAATTAGAGATAAGGGCAAAATAGTTTCTGCTGGGTATTGAGGGGGGGGGAGGGGTGGAGTGGGTGGTAAGGGAGGGGGGGGCAGGGGGAGAAATGAACCAAGCCTTGTATGCATATGAATAATGAATAATAATAAAAGAAAAAAAAAAAAAAAATGCATTTACTTCCTAAAGTAAACATTAGTCACTTTGCAGCCATTGGTTCTAAGATGGTTTGTAGAGGAAACGCTCCCCAACTAACCACCTAAGTATTTCAGACAACAGATAGAAAAAGAAAATATCATGCAAAGCCACACATCTTAAAAGTATGCTAATGCAGACCAGGATAGCTAAGTGAAGAATTTGTTCTTCGTATTTTCTTCTCCCTTTCTGTTTCTTTTCTAATGCTTCCTATTTTTCTTCTTTTTCTTCATTGTCTTTCTGATTTTCCCTTATATGGAGCAAAGGTCATGGTTTTAAATGCACTATCTACCCAAACCTCCTCAATTTACAAATGGAGAAAACTAAGGCTCAGATAAGGCTAAAAACTTGCCTGAGAACACAAGCCTGATATGTCTATTTCTTGCTCCCTGAGAAATTTAATTCTATATCCAGGCCCACCACTCCCTATCAAGGTAGAAGTAGCACAGAAAGTGGAAAGGACCACAGTCCAAACCATAATGAACTGAAGAATGTTTATAATTACCTAGGCAGACTATATAATGTACAGTCTCCTCCACTAGGTATTGTAATGAACAAAGAGAATGAAATAAAACTGATTTTCTCCACCAAGAGTAAGAAAATTCTACAAATATTTTTCCAAGTTTTCTTTTCCTGTTTTTCCTTCTCTGAACCTGTTTCCATATACACATCAAACAGATAAAAAGGATGAAAGGACTAAGGGAAGGGTCTTCAAAGTCCACTAAATTAGACAACCATGAATCAATGATTTGGAGATAAAAGCTGCCATATTTCTGAACTAGAGCTCTAAAATAACAAAATTTCTAATTCAGGAATTGCTTCCATTATTAGCAAGGTTAAACATTCTTTAAAGCATCTTATAAAAATATTAATAGGTCAAACTAATAACATCAGAATCCACAACTGGAACAAAAATTCCTCCCAAGTATAAAAGCATTTAGATACATAGGCTTATAAACAGAGGAAGAAATAAATTTAATGAACCTAAGATTATTGGCAAACTAAAGGCATTTTGAGATATGTTCCCTGCCTCTAAAGATTACCAGAAAATACATACCCCTTTCAGGACAAAATAAAAGATTATCAGAATTTTTTTTTTTCAACAAATTCTTACCTTGTGGATCAAATATTTCAACAGCTTATAAAAACTACCTTGATTTAAATACATTTTCCATGGTTGAAATTACTCAGAAATACTGTGAAACAGTAAAAGATCTTAAAATCTTCCCAAGTAACTATAGTTCTGCCATGGTAAAGTTTTTTAAATGTATTACTGATTAATAATGTCCCTTAAACATTTTCAGAGTTAAAACATCATTGTGACATACTCCACAGCATAGGAATATTCCACGGAGTACTTTTCCAGCACTCCCTAAGTAAAACTATAATCTTGCTGCGGACGCTTCTCCCTGATTTCCATGGCGCTATCAACAGTGCCATCTATGCATCTGGTAAAGCACATGAGCATACCTGTGTTCTCACACACGTGCTTAGGAAAAACATAAAAGAATGTGTGTTATACCAACAGTGGTTATCTTTGGAAACTAGGATGAGTGACCTTTTTTTCAGTTTTCTGAATCATCTAAGATTTTCAATAAATATATTTTTGAATGGAAAAAAGTACAACTACTTCCATAAAGAAATAAATGAGATATAAATAAATCAGCAGTATATAAATAAACCAGAGTTAAGGTCCATCAGTGTAGGCTCATCAAAGCAAGTCAGACTCACCAGCTTCATTACACAAAGCTTTCAGGTCTGCTCCAACATATCCATAAGCACTATTTGCCAGCCGTAGCAGTTCAGCTTTATTAAGCAAATGGGGTACCCTTCGAAGCAGTTTCTGGAGAATATCTAGCCGGTCCTGAGCATTAGGAATTCCAATCTCAATTTCTTTGTCAAATCGTCCAGGCCTTCGGAGGGCAGCATCTAATGCCTGGGGGCGATTTGTGGCCCCAAGGACCAACACCTTTCCTTCACTTCCTTCCTAATGAAATAAAATGAAAACAATTATGCGTTTTCTAAAAGTTAAAAAGAAATAGGGGGGTAGACAAGAAAGACTGAGTCTGCTGAGGATATTAAGCACAAGCCCTTAATAAATTTTGTTTATAATTGGTTTTGATTAAACATTTTTTTCAAAGCTTAGCTTTCCAATACTTACATCTTCATCTATTCTAAGGGACATTCCTCTCACTTATAGTATATTAAATACACCATTATCATGAATAATATATGAAAATCTACACATAGTTGTTTTAATTGCTTTAAGTAGTCCTTTTCCTTTACTTGAAAGCAAAGATTACAACCTATATAGTATTCAAACAGAATAAGGCTCCATTAGGAACTTGTTTAAAAAGCCTTCCTCACATTTTATATTGTTGACGAATTATTTAACTCTTGAAAATACAGACAACATAACCAATATCCAAGTATGAACTACCCTTCAATATATACAGATTTTTTTACTCTCTGAAAATGAAATTATTATCAGGACTACAGTCATGATCAGCCACCTGAGAATACCACCTAATATTTTAGTCAATAACCCAAGTATAATTTCACAGAGACAAGCATAAATGGAATGTGATTAAATTTAAGGGCCCCCAGTGACCCCAGAACTGGGGAGGCTGAGGCAAGAGGATCCAGACCAGTCTGGACTATACAGTAAGACTCTGTCTCAAAAAACCAGAAAAAAAAACACAAAAAATTCAAACCTAATCAATTATGTTGAATGTGCCAACAGAAAGTGCATGGACTACTGTGAATTTATGAATTATTAGTTTAAAAGCAAAAATACAAGTACTTAAATATTTTAGGACTAAACATCAGTGTCATGTGCTTCTAGTCCTGTCCAAAGGCAAAGACACCAGTCCACAGCAGGCTCATTCCAATGGCCGACTGACATGGTGACTAAGATCCTCCAGCACTGAGCCTTCTAACTGATGTATTAATTATAATACAGCTCTCAGTATTCACCTTCAAGGTGAAATTATGGTCATCCAGAAAGACAATGTGCCTACTTAACAGTTAGATCTGACTGAATACCAAACATTCACATCATTTTCAAACATTCAAGTTTCTACCAAAAAGCAGTAAAAAAACAAAAACTTTTAATTGTCTAGTTTTTGATGTGCAAAAGGAAGGCATGAGACTCCACAGTATCTAAAATTCCTTTTGGTTCTAAGAAGTACATTTTTCTGGTTAACAGATGTCAGGAATCTGAGAATTTTTTTCATTCCTGTTTCTGTATTAATTGTTCCATTCATAATTAGCACGTAGTTTTTATTAAGACAAGATTATATACCCTAGGCGGGTATATATATGTAATCCCAGCACTCAGGAAACCGAAGCAGAAGCACAGTGAGTTTGAGGCAAGCCTATACCACACAGTGAGATCCTATCTCACAAAACAAAAAACAAAAGAAAAACTCATGATATTTCTGAGTAAAATTCTCTAAAACTTAATGCTGAATCTTCCTTTTAAGTTTTTAAGTTAATATCACCTATCATAAAAGAAATCCATCATAATGCATTATTTTATGGGCTAGAAAAATAAGCCAAGTTATGTTGTCCTAGCAATTACTAAATGATCTACTGAAGCAAATTATTTTATGAGTCTTGCCCTAGTTATATGCTTGATATTTTTCCCTTATCCTAAAGTACCCAAAGACCTAGACACATTTAGTAGCTTTTGCCATTACATGTACATTAAGAAGCAACTCCTTGCTAGGAACTGGTGGCTCATGCCAGTGATCCTAGATACCCAGGAGGCAGAGGTCAGGAGGATGTGGTTTGAGGCCAATCAGAGCAAATAGTTCACAAGAACCTATCTCGAAATTACCTAACACAAAACAGGACTGGCCCAGTGGTTCAAGTTGTAGAGCCCCTGCCTATCAAGCGTGAAACCCTGAGTTCAAACCCCAGTACTACCAAGGGAAAAAAAAAAGGCAGCAACCCCTTCCTAAACAGAATCAATACTAGTGCTGCACTTACAGAGCCAATGCCATCCATCAGTGTTAACAGGGAAGCTACAACTCTTTTTTCCACTTCATTATGAGCTCCTTCTCTTTTAGGGCAAAGTGCATCCAGTTCATCAATAAAAATAATTGACGGTTGCCTAAAAACAAGAAAATAAAATATAATTTACATTTAATTTTAAGGTTTAGTTTCAGTTTTTTAAATTGAAAGCAACATATCAAATTTTGAATTTATTTAATATTAAAAACAAAAGCATTAGAATAGTAAGCTGAAAAACCTTAGATTCTAGCCCAAATTATTTAACTCATCAACCTCACATTCTAGTCTATCTGCTCTCACTAAAAGACAGTGTCAATAAATATCTACTTCTCATGAAGCAGAGATGAGCATTTCACCAAGATACAGCTTCCCACCAATTGCCAGTAAATTGTTAGGACTGGACCAATTCAGAACCTGAGGTCGAGGGCTGGTGGAATGACTCAAGCAGTGGAGTGCCTCCTTAGAAAGCATGAGGCTCTAAGTTCAATCCCCAATACTACCAAAAAAAAGGCCAGATATCCCTTGGAGTAGGTTTAAAATCCAAACAATAAAAACTAAAAATGGCCTCTTATTTCTTTCTAGACTACTAAAAAAAGTACTTTTAAGATTTTTTAAGATGACCAAATCTGCCATAAAGAGATGTGAATTCTCTCACAAGAGAAAATCTCAACTACCATCAACCTAACAAAAAAACACAAAATGGTGTAATAATAAGGTCCTCAAATTTTCAGTTATTGGGACTACAAACCACTTATTTCTTATATCACCAGAGCCAAAAAACTTAAAATCTAAGTTCTTTAATAATTAATGAGTAGTGTAATGTTAAATATCAAAACAATGACAGAAACACAGCCATATTAAGAATAATATTAGACCAAGTAAGAGACCATATTCTAATAATCACTGCAGTATAACAATATAGCCTAAACTCAGGAATAAAAATAATTTTCTAAAGAGCAAAAGATTTATCCCTTCAAAACAAATCAAAGCAAAGCTTTCAAAGTATTTTATGCTTTGAAAAGAGTCTACTAAGGGAATCAAGTATCAGTACTCTAAAGAAAGAGACAGATAGATTTGCATGCTCAAGTCACATGACTTATCAAACACCATTGTCTACTACTTTATGTAACTTAATGACTCATTTACCAAACTTGAAAATAATATTACATAGAACTAGGTTAAGCAAAATTTCATTAAATCTATAATCTATTCCTAGAGCTATCACTAGTTTTGTAGTATTTATTTTTTGTACAAACTGCCAGAGTCTTGCTTTAATTAATACAACCCTGACAATTAATTCCAAAACATTAAAACATAAATAGTACCGTATAGTGGCTTCAGCAAATATCAGACGTAATCTTGCTTCAGTCTCACCATAGAATCTGTAACAAATAAAAAAAATTGTTTTAAAAACTTTGTCTTGGGGCTGGAAGAGTGGCTCAAGTGGTAGAGTGCCTGCTTAATAAACACAAAGCCCTGAGTTCAAACTCTAATATTGCCAAAAAAAAAAAAAACTATAAAAACTAATCTGAGTTTTCAAATACTTCCAGAATACATAAAATTACTTTCAAAAATTACTTTCAAAAATTATTTTCCAAGCTTATTTTTTATATTTATTATTTATTTGTTTATTTTACATTTACTCAAAGCAAATTTTTTAAACCCAGGTGCAGTGACTCACACCTTTAATCCCAGCTATTTGGGAGAAGAGATAGGAGGATGGCAATTCAAGGCTAACCTGGGCAAAAAAGTTAGCAAGACCCTATCTCAAAGAACAAGCCAGATGTGGTGGTACATACCTGTAATTCCAACTACACAGGAAGTGTAGGTATGAAGATCACACACAGTTCAAGGCTAGAAAAAAAGCATAAGACCCCATCTAAAAATAAAAGGGCTAGAGGCATGGCTCAAATGGTACAACATTTGCTTAGCATGTGAAAGGCCCTAAGTTCAATCCCTAGCACCATCCTCCTAAAAAAAAAACATGAAATGTCCAAACAGAATACATGCAGCCACTTTAAAAAGCCACATTTGAGAGGTATATATAATAATACTAAATTTACTTTAAGTCATGTACCTACTTGCTTATAATTTCAGGGCCATTAATTACAGAAACATAAGCTCCAACTTCATTAGCAACAGCCCTGGCAATCATTGTTTTTCCAGTACCCGGAGGACCATAGAGTAATACTCCTCTAGGGGTCGGAATTCCTAGAAGAAACAGAGAACACTGAATTCATCATTACTAGGTTTCTTATAAATGGTGTCATACAACTTCAAACATGAGTTATAAATGTACGCTTACCTTGCATTATAAAGTTAGGAGCCAGACTGTCTTCCCTAACCCCCAGAAAAATGTGCTATTTATCCCAAACATTGACCCTCAGCAATGACACTTACTGTCTCTGAAGACCACAAACCACGAGAAGCATGTTGATTAAAAAAAAAAAAAAAACTGTACATCCACATTGTTGTCATGCCCCATACATGGGGCATGCAGAATTCAACAATCCCAGAACACAAAATCCAGACACAATGAGCAGACAAAAACAAGGCAGAAATCCCAATTTCTTTCCAAATAGCCATCTTGGAACATACATACATTACTAGCAAAACACTTTATATACATATAGATTCAAAAGAAAGGAAAAAACACCCATCACTTGCACCAAAAATAAGCAAAAGATCTAGGTAGCAACCATGTAGAAGTTGTGTTGCCTTTAACTATTTGCTTCATTGTAAAGAGACCTGCACATAGCTATGTTGCCTAGCAAAGAATTTTTATCCAACCCATGTGAATGTTTATTTATTCAGTCATTACAGCCAATCTCACACGACAAGGTATTTATTATGGATCCAATTCAAGCAACAGTGGATATATGCTATTAGAAAAGACAAGGGTCCAGGTGCTATGGTTCAATCCTGTAATCCTAGCTACTCAAGAAACAGGGATCAGGAAGTTCACAGTTTGAGGCCAGTCTGAGCAAGAAATTCATAAGACCCCCTACCCCCATTATCCCAGCTACCAGGAAGCATAAATGGGAAGATGATGGTCCAGGCTGCCCCAAGCATAAACATAAGACCCTACCTTAAAAATGACCAAAGCCAACAGGACTAGGGGCATGGCTCAAGTGATAGAGCAGCAAGGCCCACGGCTCAAACACCAACAAGAAAAAAAAAAAGACAAAACTGTCACTCACACACACATCATACCCTAGAGACCAGAGAAACTCCCAAAGCAACTATTGCATTCTACCATACCTATTACTAAGAAAATAAACACAGGAAAAGAGAGTGAACAATAAGTGGAACTGGCCTACTTTTTAGTTTGAATATAACACATCTGGGCAAAATAAACTGAGATGTCATACCAAAACTCTTGAAAAGTTCAGGCTGTTTGAGAGGCAATTCAATTATTTCTCTAATTGCTTTCAGCTGACTGTTTAAGCCTCCAATCATGTCATAAGTTACTTTGAATTGGCTGTCTTGCTCTTTTAAATTTGTATGAATCTTTTTAAGATTGATTCTTGTTGTTGAAGAAATAAAATAAAAAGTATCAGTATTGCAGTTTGGTCCCACGTTGGTTGGTTTTACCAGTCTGTCTTCATTGATAAGCTCCTTATTTCCTTCTCTAGCTGACTCAAAATTACATTTAAGACCTGTAACTTCCTGTAGCCCAAGTCCACTGCCATCCCCAGGGCTCTGTGTAACATCCAACAAAATGTCACTGGCTTTATTTGTAATTCTGTCATCAACAGGTTTATAAGGAGTACTTCTTGATGCTGGGCTCCGGGGCTCTTCCAGATTTAACTGGCTTAGCTGCAAGGATATATCCAGGCTATTGGTTTCCATGCTGGAACATTCAGAAGTCATTTCCTGGGCATCAGTGCCAGAGTCACTCTGAGATCTTTCCAATATTATGCCATCTGCCCCTTTCACTTTCAATACTTGTAACTTGCACAGTCGTCCATAGAAGGTACAATAGAGAAAGTTGCCTGGTAAAACAATCTTCCCATCTAGAAAAAAAATTATTAAATATATATGTTAGCACAATTTTTCCACACTTTAATGTTTTAATAGCAACTTACTAAACTGACTGAGGAGCCTAAATCAAAGCTGGACTGCTAACAAAGTAAGTGTCACGAAAAGGACCTAATATTCCCCATATATGATATAGTACCAGCGGGAGATAGAAAAGATGGTTCTCTCAAATCCTCTACACTCAATATATTCAATATTCTACCAACATATCAACAAAGAGGCAGGAAGTCCAATTGAAAATGGGACACCTAACCCAACACTCCAACATGCATCTCATTGAAAATTCAGAGCAAAAGCCCAAGGGTTAAAAAGTTGGTTTGTCCAGACAAGCCATACACTCTACTCAACTGTCAATTAACTGGGAGTACACACCTGTTTCAAAAGGGGATTCATTCTTGAGGGGAATATTCTTTAAGTTATTTTGAAAAAAAAAAAAACTATTAAATTTACGAGATTTCAAGGGCACTTTATTTGCTGCTACCTTACTGCTTTATTTTAGAAAACAATTTAAAATATCATTCTCACCTAGTTTTCTCAAAATACAGCCAGTCAATTCATCTTCATTAATTTCCCTATCTTTGTCACTATAAAAAAGAGAATAGAAATTAGTATTAGGTGCTGAAAAAGCTAAACCACAGTATAAAGTGGCATGTACACGGTTACAGACCTCATCAAAAGGGTTAAATGTGAAAATAAATGGTTTACCCAATTTTGGAATGACTGTGTTTTTCAGATACTTCTTACAGGAAGGAAAATATCATCTATAATCTGGTGCCTTAGAGGCTTAAATGCTTTCATTTAATTCTGCTAATAAAACTTTGAATCAAGTTATACTTAAAATATTTTATTTATTAAATCGTGAATAGAAGACAGTTACAAATAAGAACAGTAAAAGTACTCAACCAGTTTTGCTTTTTAAAAAAAAGAATGGATGCAGATAAACTTAAATCCACTAGAAGGAGCTCCAACATTACTAATAACAATTTGCAGTTACAAATAATTTAAGCAGACTAGAATTATTGATTTTCCTAATTGGAAATTAACTTTCTTATCTGCACTTTTCTGCCACATTTAAGATGTAATTTTTTTAAATAAAATTTTAAAAACCAAGATTTTATTTTAAACACATACAATTATTATTCACCTAAGTCTGCTGAGGCCTGAAGTCAAGCTAGATCAGATTATAGTCAATGCTAACTCTACTCAACTGCTGCTGCATGTAGCAGTTCTAACACAGTATGATGATCAGTCTTTAATCTGAGCAGTACTACTAACTACTCCAAGAGTATTAAGGTACCTCTCCATGTTGAGTCCACTGCCTCATCTGTTTAAAAAGGGGTAAACCATAAAATGGGTATGATGACTCACACCTGTAATCCTAGGTACTCATGAGGCAGAGATCAGGGGGATTCCGGGGATAGAAAGGATCAAGAATCAAGGATAGCCAGGACAAAAAGTTCATGAGACCTTATCTCACCAATGCAAGCTGGGCAATAGTGGCACGTGCCTTTCACTCCAACTATGCATGAAGCATAAATATGAGGATCATAGTCCAGGCTGGCCCAGGCATAAATGCAAGACCCTATCTGAAAAATAACTAAAGCATAAAAGGGTGGGGCATGGGTCAAGTGGTGGAGCACCCGCCAAGCAACTCAAGGCCCTGAGTTCAAATCCCAGTACAGCAAAAAAAAAAAAAAAAAAAAAAAAAAAAAAAGGGCGGGGGAATAAATAAGGCAGGAATGGTAATGCATGGCTGTAATCCCAGCACTTGGCAAGAAGAGACAGGAGGATCCTGAGTTTGAGGCCAGCCTGTCTTAAAAAAAAAAAAAAAAAAAGGAGGTAGGGGTAAATATAGATACCAGGTGGGATATGAGAGGATTAAATAAGAAAAAGGCTTAATGTGTGTGCCTACGTGTATGCAATATACACAAAGTATCAGATATAAAGGGTGCTCAACAAATGTCTTCTCTTTTCCTTTCTGCTTTTTAATGTTCATTAAAGGATTATTATATGTTCCAAAAACATTTTCCTGTTTTTGGAGGAAAAGTATGCCAAAAATATGCCAAAACTCAAGTTTAAAATTTACAAAAGCAGAAAAAAAGACAAGAAAATATTTTAAACAACATGTTGACTAGAAAATGTTTCATGATTCTTGTATATAATGTAAGCACATTCCCAAAGTTATTAAGGTGGTATTTGCTTTTTTAAATAAATTTTGATCAGATACATGCAGACTAAGTCACAAACCTATTTGACATAGAATCTCCAAAAAGATAGATGAAATACTGTATTCATAGACTGATTCAAACAATTAGTCTTTGGTGAGGGACTATTTAAATGCTGATATGTAAAACTGTGATAGTAATAACCTTTGGTTTTACTAGGTGGAATACTTAATTAGTTAAAATACACAATTAGGTTCTTTGCTTGAGTGTCTTAATTAAAACATTTCTTTTCTACTCACAGTAAATTACTCCTTTATAAGAAGAGAAATCTTGATTATATTGCAAGCCAAGATGAAAAATACTGCTAAGTGTTCATCAGTAATAATGCCTTTCATTTAAAATGTCAGGGCACATGGACCTCAGGAATGAGAGTCTCTATCCCATACATTACATGGCATTCATCTAGCTTGTGCTTTCTTATACAGTAGGCAATTAACTACTCACAACATGTAGCTATCAAACACTTAAAATGTGGCTAATCCAAATTGAGATTTGTAATATACATACATACTGGATTTTGGAGACTTAATTTTTTTAAGAAAAAAAAAGACAAATACATTAGTAATTTTTCTAATGTTATATGCTAAAATTTTACATATAGTCATTAAACAAAATGCTATTATAATTCATTTTACCTGTTTCTCTTTACTATTTAAGTGTGGCTACTAGAAAATGAAAACTTACATATGTAGTTTATGATTGTGACTCTCATTATACTTCCACTGGGCAGCATTAATCCAGACAATCACCAAAGAAAAGAGCCAAACCTCAGTGCCAGGTCCATTTCCTGAGCCTGTAATATAGCCCCCAAAAGAGGCTGGACCCAGATGACATCACCGGCCCTCACACCCACATTCTTCTGTGCCATTTCACTCAGGCCAATCTTGCCTCCAGGAAATCCTGCCACTGGCCAGGCTGTATAGACCTGCCCAGAGAAATTGAATAAAAGAGTTGCAAAATATTCATAGAATACCATGAATTTATAAGGAAGATGCTTCACACTACTAGCACATGAATTTGCCAGTTACACTTTGACACAACTTACAGAAAGATACATTGCAGTTAGAAAAAATAAAATACTACATAGGTTCACAAATAAATTATTTCAACAAACATTATATCTTTTGTAAAGATCAGGATGAGCTCACAGTGAAGATGGTAGAAGGCAGATTTAGGAAAAAAGACAAAGACATTACAGGTGATAAGAAATTCAGAAAAATGTTGAAAGCAAGATAAATTGTAAAGTAATCCAATCTGGAACTTAAAACTACATCCAGGAAGTGATGAAAGACACAGCATGAGCACTTCACCAGAACCCAGATCTCTTCAGTCTTAAATGTTTAAGAAGTAGATATTTCTGGGTCAACTTCACACATTCATCACCTGTCTTCTACAAGATACAGTAAAGAATTTTTTAAAAGTACAATATAAACCCAGAACAATGACCTTTTAGGAGCTATAACTCCAAGCATAGCCACAGACATCAAAGGAATAGTATATATGTATATATACGTATACATATATGTATACATGTACACACACACATATATACATATATGTACATGTATATTTTTCATTTCTCCCTGCTTGTGTTCAAAGTTAAAATTAGTAAAATAACCCCAATTTTAAACCAAGAATATGCCTGTAATTCTTGCTACCTGGGAGGCAGAGTCAGGAGGATTTCAAGTTGAGACCAGCACAGGCAAAAGTAATAAGGCCCTGGCATGGCTCAAGTGGTAAAGGACTTGCCTAGTATGAATGGCAAGTATACGTGCCATGTAGGCCCTGGGTTCAATCCTCAGCATGGTTAAAAAAAAGAAAAAATTTCTTACCTCTTGTTTTCCATCCACACTGGTAAGCAACACTGGTCGACCTATGCATATCTCTGTGGATTTCATAGTGTTGAGTCCAAGATGAACAAGGGAATTCTGGAATGTTTTAGGAACTTTGGCATCTACTATGAAGGAAAAGAAAATTATTTTTATACTATTTTATAAATAAAGTTAAGACATGCTTTCTTTTGGAGTAAATAAAAATCCTCTATCCATATAACCACAAGAATGCACTTACCATGTCTTGAAGAAACCACTGCTCCAATTTTTCTTTTAGCCAGCAAATTTAATGACAATGTTACTAAGTACAAAGTGTTAATAAAAAAAAGGAAATCTCTAATTTCGTTAAGAAATAAACACACTTGCAATAGTCTCTGAGCTTTCTGTAGGACAGATACTGAGTCAGCTACTAGTATTCAAAAGCTTCAGATGGGAACTGGCACATCCATCTGCTCTAGAAGATTAAGCTACGTTTCCACTTGCAACTCACACACCCAGGATTTACAAACCACAGGCTTCACTAAATACCTCTACACCTCCCCGTCAATGGAGAGCACATTCAAATTCCCATCCACTACCTCTACACCTCCCCGTCAATGGAGAGCACATTCAAATTCCCATCCACTACCTCTACACCTCCCCGTCAATGGAGAGCACATTCAAATTCCCATCCACTGGCCACCTTTCCCAATACATCACCACTATTTTCTCTGCAGGTATCATTCAAGTCTTCTCAAGCTGAACCCACAATTCCTTTCACCAGTCCTAATTTCTCCAGTACTTTAAAAATGTCTCAATATCCACTTGCCCCATTCACATTTATTAAGCATCTTAAGTGTCAGATCAACTATGAGAATAATAAAGATGATTCCAAACAACTATCTATCTTCACTTATTCCTTCAGCAAATATGTACCATGGGTCTACTATGTGGTACACCCTTTAGTAGGAACTTTTGTTCACAAATCCTTAGCTTCATGGAGTTTGTAATTTAACAGGATGAGAGTTATCCAACAATCACTGAATAACTATAATTACAAACTAAGATGGGCACAATAAAAGAATGACTAACAGTGCTAGCAGAGCCTATAATGTGAGATATAACTTGGAAGATTCAAAGGAATCTGAAGTTCTTTGAAGTCCTCGAAGGAAGTGCTGTTAAAATTCAGATCTGAAGCCAGGTAGGGTGGTTCATGACTATAATCCCAGAAATTGGGAGGCTGAAATAAGAGGATAGTGAGTTCAAGACTAGCCTGGGCTATTTTGTGAGTTCCCAAACAGCCTGGACTAGAGTGAGACTCAATATCAGAAGAACAACAAATTCAGATCTGAAGGAAGAGTAGGAAATAATAAAACGAAGGAAAAAAAAACTTTCATCAGAGAATATCATGTATTGATGCCTTTGGTGGTTAGGAGTATGATGCACATCCAGACAGATGGCAGAGGCTGTGCAAGCCAGTAGACTATATGAAGATGCTGGTCATCATCCCGACAGCAACAGGAACCCACAAAGGGATAAAAGTGGGACCATGAGACAAAGGTCAGTCTGGCAGTAAAGTGGAAAAGGAGTAAGAAAGGGAAATCAGTTAAAGGCTAAGGCGAAGCCCAGGTGTCTGAGGCGGAGCGGTGGGAACAGTGTGAAGAAGACATGTGAAGTGTTCCAAGGTGGACCTGATGCCTGAGGAAGAGCCAAGGCATGAATGGTTCCTAGGATTCTCAAGTCTGTAACGGCAAAACTACACAGAGATAAAGTTTGTTTTGCTGGAGGAGATCCAGGCTCATGAAGCCCATCCAGAAGTACCTGAGAAATCCAGAGAAGAATTGCAAACTAGTATTCAAAATGTAGTCTACAAACTACCTGATACTGGTTCTTAAGCACAAAAAAGAACAAGCATTCAGACGCTGTCATTGCAATTTGATAGGCTAATTTACTTGGTCAATCTAATAAAGCCACCTCCATTCTTCAGGCAAAAAGATACGAATAGAACCACATTTCTAATGAACTTGGTATTCACCTTTTACTGCAGGTTTCCAACACTCCCTGAGCAGTTCTGCACAGGTAGGTCGGCAATCTCAGGTGAGGCAAGGCTGGTTCACACGCAGGCAAGCAGATGCCTGGCGGACACGCTTTCTTGACAACCCTGCCTTCCCCCGGTGCGTGAGGCTGTCACCCGCGCCCACCGCCCCGGCCAGTCCCGCCGCGAACTGCGCAGCGACGCCCGCTCCCCGCGCCTCCGCCAGGTCTCCCTCCCCAACTCCTTACCTTTCTCTAGGAAGTTGGTCACCACCAGTGTCCCGGATGCCTTCGCGAAGTCAGACCCAGCAGAAGAGGATGGGGTCCCCGAACAAGAGGAAGCATCACAGGGCAAGGGCGAACCACTTTCCGCGTTTTGCTTCACCCGCTTTCTGTTCTTCTTGGAAGACATGACTAGAGGGTTGCCAAACAGAAGCAGCGACGAAACCGGCTTGAGATGCCCGCCTGTCTGAGAGAAAACTTCCGGGGTAGAGGTCAGCGAGACGCGGCCCACCGTAATGTCCCAAGTAGAGCGCAGTATGCGTCTGGGTGGTGCAAAGGGCAGGGGCAAGAGCCGAGCATCTTTAGAACACACAGAGTTTACATTGGTTACAAAGGTTCTCATTTTTGTAAAGGAAAATAGGCTCGGTGTACGGAACTCCTATTTGGATTGTAAATCCCTGAAGGTCTGCACTTTAGGGTATCTCCGTCCACCTACCTTATTCCTAAATAAGCGTCGGTTGATTTAAACTAACAAAATAAGTCGGCAGGAGAGTTTCTCCCGCTTTTCTGGAGCCGGTGGACAGGACTTTGCGGTCTCCTAGATTCAGCTCTGCTTACCACAGCTCAAGTCTGATTAGGGCTGGAGGCACTATTCTCCAGTTTACGGTAGCCGCCTCCTCCCGGGAGCGCGGAGGTGACGTGGGGGCGGGGCGAGTAAGGCGGAAGATGCTGCGGAGGCCTGTTGGGGGCTTGTGGCGCTTGGGGCTGTCTCACGCCCGCTGCTCCGAGCTACGGGTTGAGTTCCGCGGGGCCTCCGGCCTCCCAAGTGGCACAGAGGATCATGTCGTGGGCGCTGGCGAGCCCGATCGATTTGGGGGCGTCTCCGTGCGCCTGGCGCGGCTTGGTGCGCTGGACCGTCTGGACGCCGCCGCCTTCCGGAGAGCCTTACAGGGCAAGTGCGCCCCGGCCAGGGGCCTCTTGCCCGCGTCGCCCCGCGCCGGACCGGGAGGCCGGGGGACCCTGGTTTGTGGTTCACTGCCTAGTGTGTGACCTGCGGGAAGTTCCTGGGGTCGCGGAGGTTCAGTTTGGGTAGTCCATGGGAAGAGCATGGCACGGTGCCTGCCATGTGTCGAACGCTTAGTTAGGTGTCTAATAACGTCACCGTTTTCTGCCGTTTATCACTGCGGTCCTTTACTTCTGCCTGCCACTGGGCCGAGACTACCGCTCATACTCAGTGGACACGTTTGTGCACAAATAGCTGTCGAGCCAAGAGTTCAGTCCCTATCTGCTTATAGAGCGTTCCCCCTTTCCGTAGGAAAGCTCTGCACTAGCTTTGTGTGTGTGGGGGGGTAATATATATGTATTCCTTATTTTTATTATTGTACTGGAGTTACATCTCCATTGGCTTTGAACATGGACTCCAAGTAGTAAGAAGGGAAGCTGGGGTGAAGGAGCCTTCACTTTGGGAGAACTGCTGGATTTCGAGAAGCAGACATCTTTTCAAACGTCCCTGAAGGACATAGAATGAAGTTCAGCTATGGAGTGATGCTCTGGCATGTGGTCCTAGTGAGCAACTTATCCAGTGAACACCTCCAAACACATTTCCAACCAGCCTCGCGCCCACCCCAAACTTCTTACCTCTTTTCATCTTCTCTCCTGCTTATGAGGAAGTGCTGGAAAGCCCACTTAACAGTAACACCCATGGGAGAATCAAGTCACTTATCTTCTGATATAGGAACTTAGTTGTTGGGAGAGACAGATATTTCTGACATGGTGCTTGCCAGGGACCAAACAGGTAAAGCATTAACCCCAAAAGTGTGCTGTATTTGGAAGTTCATCCAGGGCCCAAGTCCCAATTCTGTCACATGCTTTTCGAGGCATTAAACAAATGACCACTGAAAATACTTGCTCCTTAGGTTGCTTCTGTGGACAATGCCAGCCCTGAGTACATCTACTGGATCAATGTGATGAAATTGACTTACGTGAAACTAAATTTGTAACTTCTGGAGTACCTTTGTTTTTTATGTTTTTAAATCAAATTTTGTAGTTACTAAGTGCTAGACACTATTTTAAGCAGTAACAAATATAAATTCATTTCATCCTCACAAGAGCCCTATGAAGTAGATGCTGTCTGTCAGTCCCTCGTTAAAGATGGTGTAGTGTGGCAGAGAATACACCTTTTTCTGGCTCTAGATCTGTTCTTTCACTAGGGTCAAAAGTAACTGTGCTTACAAAGAAAAATTTAAAAATCTGAGAAGAAAGTGATAAGTTTATTTCTGTTCTTTTCAACTAAATTGAACACATCATTTACAGTGTAATAGTTGTTAAGCATGTTTAGACATGAAGTCTGTTGTTTTAGTGTTACTGTTTTGCTATGGATAACTCAGAAGTTAAATGTATAATCAGGTAATAATGTTGTTAGCACCACACACAATATGTCTTCTTTTTTTGAGACAGGGTCTTGCTATGTAATCCACACTGGCCTCAAATTTGAGATTCTCCTGACTCAAACTCCAGAATGCTGGGATTACAGATGTACCTCATGGTGCCCAGCATCATATACAGTATTCTGCACCAGTGGTGAAATAGCCCTGGTGCTAGTCTTTGCTGATCTATTGACCAGCTGTGTGACCTTAGGCAAGCCAGTTATTCAACAAATATGAATTGAGCCTAGTGTGTCGTATCAAGTTAACCTGGATGATTGCAAATGCAGAGAATATTAAATAAGATTAGAAAAAATAGATAATGGAAGAAATGTCATTAGGTCATATGTGATGAGTTCTAATGAATCACATAGATGTGTAAGTAGTCCTTAGGGTCATGCAGAGGGCACCTGAGCAGTATTTAGGAAAGATTTTTGTTAAGGAGGTAGTATATGAGCTAGACTTGTAAACTGTGGGGATGGAAGGTGAAGGAGGAAAAATCATTGTTTTTTAAAGAAAAAAAGGAAGGAATTAAAATTGAGGCTAGGGGCCAGGCATGGTGATTCATACCTATAATCCCAGCTACTTGGGAGGCAGAGCTCAGAAGGGTCAAAGTTCAAGGCCAGTCTGCACCATCTCAACAAAGAAGCTGGGCATGGTGGTTTATGTATGTTAACCCAGTTACACAGGTCTGAGGGTGTACCTGAAAACTAAAGCAAATAGACTGCAGGCGTAACTCAAATGATAGAGTGCCTGCCTACCTACCAAAAATTCAAAGCCCTGAGTACTGCCAGACAGAAACATGGTCTTTAACAGGGAGGAACTTCCTGACAAGTAGCCTTAAATAACTAATCAACCCTTTGTGGACACACACTTATCAGCATTATTGTAAAGAGTAAGTGAAATAGTAGGTGGAGAAAGTAATCTGAAAAGTATTTCTAAAGTCTCTCAAATGTGAAGTATTAATTTCTTCACTCACAAAGATAATATATTTATCTTTCCTGGTTTTAAGCACTTAGGTAATGTAAAGCATCTGAAACTTAGTAAGGCTCAAATAAATTAGCACCTTTATCCTCTGGCATAATCTTAAGTAATAAAGCAAGAAAATTTAAAGAATTCAGAGACAGCCTATCTTTATGTTTATCATGATACTTAATGAAACATTAAAAAATATAAATGTCTAAGAGCAGAAGGTTGGTTAAGTAGCTTACAGAATACCTAGATGAAGAAAACTACACAGTTATTAGAAATTTATATTTGTTGAAAGAATGTGAATGACATTGTAGGATGCTTAAGATATATGTTATGAAAGACGTGATATAAACTATGGTATGATGTTAATTCCAAAATTCATGAAAACCACCAAAAATTTTAGTTTCTTCAAGCCAGTAATAAGCTGTTTACCAGTGGCTCACACCTGTAATCTTAGCTACTTGGGAGGCTGGGTTCCAGATGATGGCAGTTCAAGGCCAACCCAGGCAAATAGTTTGCAAGATCCCATCTCCGAAATAACTAGAGCAAAATGGAGTAGAGGTGGCCCAGGCTGCAGAGTGCCTGCTCTGGAAGTGCGAAGCCCTGAGCTTAAACCCCAGTCTCACCAAAAACAACAACAAACTAAATACATGAAGGTCGATTTATTTTTCTTTATTTTCAAAGTTTTCTAGACCTAGCATACATTTTTTAAAAAGTTATATTTTAAATACTTTGAAATTTATAAACCAAAAATAATTAAGACAGAACTCTTAAAGGAAGAGCAGATAAAAGTACTTAATAGTCATTTATGAAAACTAAAACTAAGAATGTTAAAAGAAACAGCAGTAGCTGAGGATATAGCTCAGCGTAGAGTACCTGCTTAGCATACAGGAGATTGTAGTATGAACCCCAGCACTGCAAAAGAAAGGGAGGGAGGAAAGGAGAGAAGAAAACATTGAAATGGTTTTTTTTGTTTAAATCAGTTCATTTGTCCATTCTACAACTGCTGAGCACTAAGTACTGTCTTTAGGTGGCGTGGTCACAGGAATCAGCATTGCATTGACTGTTCTCCAGGAATTTGGTCTGGTAGAACATCTTGTAAGATGCAGAAAGATCACTTTCTGGAGGATGTGACACTTGAGCTGAGTTTTAATTTATTCTACTCTTCTCACTGAAAAACCTTTACAGATTTTTATCTTCTACATTCTAGCTGCAATTCAGCAATGGCAGTCGGAAGGTAGAATAGCTGTATGGCTGCATGTTCCCATCCTCCAAAGCCGATTCATCGCCCCTGCTGCTTCCTTGGGCTTCTGCTTCCACCATGCAGAATCTGACTCATCAACACTGACTCTGTGGCTGGGAGAAGGGCCTAGCAGATTACCAGGCTATGCTACACATCAAGTAGGTGTTGCAGGTCAGTACAAACTCATGACAGCTACAAGTAACTTTTTACAAGTTTATCCAATTTCATACTTCTTATAACTGAGCATGTGGTTTAAAACATTGATGAAAGAGTTGCTTCAATGATTATCTTCCTCTGGACTTTCAGATAGATGAAGTTTGCCTTATGAATCAACAGAGGGCAGCACAAAGAGCAAGAAAGTTTATACTTTTCCAAGAATGTGCTTGAATATGTTTTACAGAGCTATTTTAACTCAAATATTGGCCCTGAACTGGGATTGGGAAATAAATTCAATTTAGTCAAGCATATATCAGTATAAGTAGAAAACAATCACAGAGATTCTCCAAGAATAATGATATTTATTTGGGAATACCAGAGCAAAGGAATAATAAACTATTCAAAGAGGTTGTATTCAAAGAGGTTGAGGCAAGGACAGGTTGTTAAAGATAAAAATGAAGAGGATTACAGCAGATATTTTGAAACAGTAATCTTTGGCAATAATCATTAATAATAAAAGTGGCATCAATGTAAGTTTGAACAGGTAGTTGTCAGGCAGATGTCTTGTAAAGGTAGCTTTTATATGTTGTGGTAGCCTTTGTGCAAGCTTGAGGCTCCTGGCAAGTCTTTTATAACAGTGACTATTAGACAGTCATGCATAAAAACTCTTCGTTCATCACCCACCAGCTTTATTTACTTTTGTTAAGATTGACACAAGCAACTCCATTTTTCTGCAATTTTCACATTTCTTTTATACATATTACTATAAAACATGAATTTGTAAATAAAAGATAATGTGTAGATTAAAGTAAAGTAAGACATTTATTCAATTATTTGAATATTACGTCTTAAAAAAACTTTAGCATTAAGTTAGTGCCAAACAGTTGTTTAAAATAGTATAGGTAATGACAGTGGAGAACTTTGAAGTCACTGATTAGCTTCAGAGACATAGGAAAGTTGAGAGCACACTTTCTTCAGATTGTGTACATTGGAATCACCTGGAGAGCTTGTTAAACTAGTTTGCTGGGGGCTGGTGTGCCTGACTAGAAAGTACTAAGCCCTGAGCTCAACACCCACTAGATCAGACAAAAAAAAAAAGGTCATTGCATCCATCTCCAGAGTTTCTGATTTTGTAGGTCTGGAGTTGGGCCTAAAAGTTTGTATTTCTGATAAGTTCTCTGTACCTGTTTCTGCTGTGTGTAACTGCAGCTGTTCTCAGGACTACCCTTTGAGAACAAGGGTTATAGAAATTCTTAGATTTCCAGAAAAAAAAGAAACTATAATAGCAAAGACTCCTTATGACCTTAAATAAATGAAAGTAAGCATACAAATTAATTAGTAATTTAATAAGCGTATTTACCTTCACAAGTTTTTTTTTTAGCGTTTTTACATTTACTTACATGTGTATTCATTGTTTGTGCCCCGCCCCACCTCCGTCCAAACAGAATCTGCTCCACCCTCTTCTCCAATTTTGTGGAAGAGAAAACATAAGAGATAATAAGAAAGACATAGCATTTTTGCTAGTTTGAGATAAAGATAGCTATACAGAGAGATTCCTAGTGTTACTTCTGTGCACATGTGTGTTACAATCCACATCGTTTCATCTCTGCCAGACCTCTTCACTACTACCTAGTCCCCTTCCCATAGTGACCTCTGCCAGTTTAAGATTACTATATTTACTCCTCTATAGTGAGCACATCAACCACATTCAAGTTTTAGGTTTCTTTCCCTTTCCGTATTCTTCCTGTGTGTGTTCTCCCCTTAGTGTGAGACCCAAATCCAATAATATTACTGCATTTGTTTTAGGTCTATAATCTGCTATGAGGGAGAACATACGATTTTTGGCCTTCTGAGCCTGACTAAAAGATGATATTCTCTAGTTCCATCCATTTACTTGCAAATGACAAAATTTCATTCTTCTTTGTGGCTAAATAAAATTCCATTGTGTATAAATACCACATTTTCTCAATCCATTCATCAGTAGTGGAGCATCTTAGCTGTTTCCATATCTTGGCTGTTGTGAATAGTGCTGCAATAAACATGGGTGTGCAGGTGCCTTTGTAATAATCTGAGTCACATTCCTTTGGGTATATCCCCAGGAGTGGGATTGCTGGATCATAAGGCAGATCTTTGTTTAGATTTTTAAGAAGCCTCCATATGGCAGATCTATGTTTAGTTTTTTAAGAAGCCTCCATATTGTTTTCCAAAGTGGTTGTACTAATTACATTCCCACCAGCAGTGTATGAGGGTTCCTTTCTCCTCCACAGCCTCACCAACATTTGTTGTTAGTGGTGTTCTTGATGATAGCTATTCTAACAGGAGTGAGGTGGAATCTTAGTGTGGTTTTGATTTGCATTTCCTTTATGGCCAGGGATTGTAAGCACTTTTTCATGTGTTTTTTAGCCATTTGGACTTCTTAATTTAAAAAAATTCTGTTTACTTTAATTGCCCACTTTATCGGTTCATTGGTTTTGGGCGAGTTTAGTTTTTTGAGCTCCCTATATATTCTGGTTATCAGTCCTTTGATGTGTAATGAGCAAATGTTTTATCCTACTCTGTGGTTGGTCTCTTCAATTTAGAGACCATTTCTTTTGTTGTGCAGAAGCTTTTTTAATTTCATGTAGTCCCATTTGTCCATCCATTCTCTTAGTTGCTGGGCTGCTGGAGTTCTACTGAGGAAGTCCTTGGCTATACCTGTTGCTTCCAGTGTATTCCCTGCTTTTTGTGTACTAACTGCAAGGTTTCAGGTCTGATATTAAGGTCCTTAATCCACTTTGAGTTGATAATAGTACAAGGTGATAGACATGGATCTAGTTTCAGTTTTCTGCAGGCAGATAACCACTTTTCCCAGCAACATTTGTTGAAGAGGCTGTCTTTTTTTTCCCATCGTATATTTTTAGCTCCTTTGTCAAAGACAAGTTGGTTATAGTTGTGTGGATTCATATCCGGGTCCTCTGTTCTGTTCCACTGGTCTTCATATCTGTTTTTGTGCCAGTACCATGCTGTTTTTATTGCTATTGCTTTGTAATATAGTTTGAAGTCGGATATTGTGATACCTCCAGCATTGCTGTTTTTGCTCACTATTGCCTTGACTATTCACGTTTTTTTGTGTTTCTAAATGAACTTTAGGTTAGATTTTTCAATCTCTGTGATGGATGTTTTTAAGAGCTAGTTTTCACCTCTGAAATGTTTTAAAGCAGTTCAAGTATGTCTAATAATGTCTACTCCTCTGTAAACATTTAGGAATTTTCCACTCAGGTCTGTTACAAAGATTCTACTCACACTTCACTGGAAAGTTATAGAGATAATTATTCTATTGGCATAGACTTTTAAGTTGAGTTTACAGTTATTACTATAAAATTGGTAATTTATGTACAAGGACTATCCTATAAAGGACATGTTTATAACTAAGTACTGTATTGTACATTGTAGTTAGAACCAGAGGACTTCAGGGAATGGGGGACATGACTTAAACAGTCTTAAAGAATAGCTAGAATTTGAGGTGTCTCTTGGGGTGGGGACAAGGTAATGGAAGAAACTGTTCTGGAGAGTGGGGTACTTGGCTCAAGTTGTAGAAGCTTGAGGCCTTTAGTTCAGTCCCCAGCACTGTGAAGGAAGTGAGGGAGGGAAAGAGTAAAAAAAAGAAAAGAAAAAAAATTGTTCTAGAAAGGTACAGAGTATTTTTAAGTGGAGAGAAAATTCTTGGCATTTGTTGTGAACAACAGAAGATGGGTGTGGCTGAACTAGCATTAGCTTTGGCTTTCTTACTGTTCTTCAAATCTAGCAAGCCTGTGTCTAATTCAGAGCCTTTACCCTTACTGGCTCCTCCTCCTGCAATGAACTTGTCCTACTTCTTTGTACCTGAGGTTCTTGCCCAAATATCTCCTCCTCAGAAAAACTCCTGAGCCTCCTGTCCCATCAGTCTTTGTCCCTTTATCCAGATCTATTTTCCTTTATAACATTAACACAATATGAAATTATATACATGTACGTAATCTCCCCCACAATAATATAAACTCAGTGAAGGCAGATTCTCTGTCACCAGTGTATCCTCAAGGTTGAAGACAGAGTCTGGCGTAAAGCAGGCACCCAGTATTTCTTGAATGAATGGCAGTATCTTCCAGTAGGATATAAACCTACTGGAGCAGTTGCCACGCTGTGCAGGAACAGTGCTGCACAGGAGAAGGCCTGCTTGGGATGCAGATTTGAAACACTCGGGTCTACCGGTGTGAGCTAGGCACTCATTCTGTTCACAGCATCACTGTGACAAGCACCTTCAGCACAGCACCTAATAATATACTTCCAACTTCTGTTTAATTCCTGATCTTGTATTCATTTAGCTTTTATGTTGTGACTTGCAGAGGTCACGCAAATTAGGCGTTAGCTGTGCTGTTTGTCTGATTTTCTGTTCATGTTATTAGTGAATTCATTAGAAAATTTCATTTTGAGTAACCACAAATTATTAAAATTTAATAGTTTCCTTTACATTCTACCACTAGAAAGACCAGTTAGATTACAGTTTACATCTTAGCATCCATCATCAATGTTAATTATACCTCACTTCCTGATTTTCCTTCCAGCTTGTTTGGTGGTACTGGAGTTTGAAATCAGAGTCGTTTATGTAGGGTTTTTTGTTTGTTTGTTTGGGTTTTTTTCGGCAGCATTGGGGCTTGAACTAAGGGCCTCACACTTGCTAGGCAGGTGCCCTACACTTGAGCCAGTCCATCAGCCCTTTTTTGTATTGGGTATTTCAGATAGGGTCTCTTGGACTATCTGCCCATGCTACCCTTGAACTGCAGTCCCCCTGATCTCAGCCTCCCAAGTAGCTAAGATTACAGGTGTGAGCCACCAGCACCCAGCTTCTTCCTGCTTTAAATGCTAAGTGTGGTATTTTTATTTCACTATGATTTCATTTGCTTTTCTTTGTGTAACAAATGCCTATCCCATTTACATATTTTACCTCTATATACTGTTTGTCACTTAATGCTATTGTGTATAATTTATCTTCTTTTATTTGTGCCCTGTTCACACACATACCAATATGTAAGCCCCATAAGGATAAGGAGTTTTGTTTACCACTATATTTCTAGCACCTAGAAAAGTACCTGACGTGTAATAGGAGCTCAATTAATATATAAAGGAATTATATGTGCATTTATATGAACTTTATTAATATTGAAAGCGTGAATGAATATGTAAAAAATAGATTACTACATGTAAATACACATGTTTAAATTAACCCATTTAAAGGAATTTAACACAGATTATTGGAGTGTTATTTAAATTTTTGATGCAGGATTGCCCAAAAGAAAATACTAAAAAGAGAAAGAGGAGAGAAGAAATACTCTTTGTTTTGTTTGTAACATCTAACAAAATCCACATATACATCAGTATGTATAATGGATGAGTAAATGAACAAAAACAACTAGAACATTAAACATTTATAAAATAAAAGCCTTCCAAACAATATACTAATATGTTATAAAATTGTGTATATACATGGTAAGGAAATTTAATTGCCTTCAGAGAGGTCTTGAACTGAGTATTGGATATTTAGGATTTGAAATGTCAGCACAGGCCTGGGTTCTATGCAGTGATTCAAGGAATGACAATGAAAATGAAGTCAGTTCATTTATTCAATACTCTTAAGCGCTGCTCTAGTCTGAATGTTTGTATCCCCGCCCCCAAATTTATACTTTGAAACATAATCCCCAGAGTGATGGCATTAAGAGATGAAGTCTTTGGAAGGTGACTAGGTCATGAGAGCACAGCCCTCATGAATGGAATTAGAGCCCTTATTAAGAGCGGCCCAAGAGAGCTTGTTTGCCCCTTCCACTATGTGAGGAAGGACACAGCTAGGAGGCACTGTCTATGAAGAAAAGGCGCTCCCCAGACACTGAATCTGACAGTACTTTGATCTTGGTCTTTCCAGCTTCTAGAACCGTGGAAAATAAAATTTTGTTGTTTATAAGTCACCCAGTTTATGGTATTTTATTATCGAAGTCCAAATGACTACAACAAGCACTTAAAATTGTCTAAACATTAAAGAAAATGATAGGGAGATTAGTTTATTTAACTGTGTACCATGAGGAACAGACAGCTTATGGAATAAGTTTATGCAGATGATTATTCTACAAATTAGCATAATGCCATAACTATCATTGATACTCAGTTGTTTGTTTGTTTGTTTGTTTGTTTAAAAAAAGCCTGGACAATTGACCACTTCCTTGCTAGAGAGATTATACTATGTTCACAGCTGAGGTGGTATTTGAACTAGGCCTTCAAGAATGATTGCATTTTGATGACCACAATTAAGTGTGGGAGGACTCTAAGGTAAGTGAAATTAATATTTTTCAATTACTTTTATTTTTATACCAACAGGAGCTGTATTTGATGAAAATACTAGAAAAATACTGGTTGTACAAGATCGAAATAAGGTAAGTTGCTTCTACTTTATAAATTGCTTTCCAAATATTCAGTTATGTCTAGAGAAAAATAGAAACATAGAAATTTTGATGTGACTAAGGGATTATAGAAAGATCAAAAGTCGACTTTTAAGCAATTATGAATCATTTAGATATTTATTTAAAATCAAAAAATACCTATAGAGACCTGTAAACATCAAGGTTGCCCTCAGTGTTGCTCACTATTACTTTTTGGCTATAGGGTAATTATACACGGCTGTATTTAATTGGGAAGACAACTGTGTCTCTTTACACATTATTGAGGTAGTTTTCCATTCATTCACCATTCATTGAGTTCCTGTTCTGTTCCAGTTGCTGAGAGTACAAATACTAAGACAATATCACTAGTCATAGAATAAATGGTAACAGTTAGCTTTGCCTTAAGAACTCTATAATGACTTCTCAGAGAAGGTGACATGTAAAACTGAGTCCAGTCTGGGCATGGTAGCTCACAACTGTAATCCCAACTACTCAGGAGGGAAAGATCTAGAGGATCATGGTTTGAGGCCAGACAGGGCAACAAATTAGCTACACCCCATCTCAACAAATCAGCTGGGCATGGAAGAAGACATCTGTATCTTAGCTACATGGGAGCCTAGGTAGAATATTGTGGTCCAAGGCTAGCCTGGTCAAAAACACAAGGCCCTCTCTGAAAACTAATCTGAAAAGCAAAAATGGCTGGAGGTGTGGCTCAAGTAATAGAGTACTTGCCTAGCAAGTTCAAGGATCCCAGAAACTGAGAAAATTAAAATTAACCACATGAAAGTGCAGAGTTCAAAAAGGTACTGCCATAGTGTGGAAATAATGGTGAAAAGTTTGTTGTGGTAAGGATTGCAGGGAGTGGTAAGGTATTTGACCTAAGAGACAAATTTGAAACAATGTGAAATGTCTTCTGCACCAAATTATAGAGCCTAGGCAACTAGAAGCAACAGATTCTTCAGAGAAGTACCGTGATCAGAGATCAAATGTTTTCATGCCCAGAAGTTATAGGTCAAAAATTATTCCTCTGAGTAACTCTTGAGGTTTAAGTTAGGTAGAATCTCTGACTCCAATGAAGCTTTTTATCATCAACAGAAATGTATATAGTAACTAAAAGAGTATCATGCCTAGCCTCAATAAGATGTATATTTGAATTGGAGCATAGATAAAACACTGGGTTGGAAGGACTGGATGGTAACAGTAGGACATAGTTATAAGGTGCCTGAAAGAGAGCCTTTAGACTTGAAGTGGAGGGAATAAATGTTAATAGTGGTATTTTTTTTTTGGTGGTACTTTAATTTGAACTCAGGATCTCACACTTGCTAGGCAGGTACTCTACCACTTGAGCCACTCTGCCAGCCCTGTTTTGTGTTAGGTATTTTCAAGATAGGGTTTCTTGAATTATTTTCCTGGACTGGCTTCAAAACATGATCCTTCTCATCATTGCCTCCTAAGTAGCTAGGATTACAGATGTGAGCAACTGGTGCCCAGCCTGTTGAGAGGTTTCAATTGTGATTGCAAAGTGATGAGTATGATACATGGGCAGATTAATGTAATAATAATATTTAAATTAACCTAACAACAATGTGCAGAGTGAATGGAAGACAATACAAACAAAACAGACCAGGAGTCGACTGACCAGGTTCCAGGCTGTGTGCAACTCTGTCTTGGCTAGTCTCAACCTCAGTTTGCTTACTTTCAGAATCTGTGTAATAGTGCCTATGTCACACACAGGATATTCACAGTCTGTGTTGCTTTTCCACTGCATTCATACCTAGTGTCTAACATACACCAAAGTATAGAGGAAAGTGTACAGAATATAAAACTGTGCTGGGTACAGTTACCTTATGCACAATTTTAATTATTTGTTCTCTAATTCATGTCAGTTTTATATTTATAGCAATGTATGGCAGGATGTATGCACACTGCTTGTTTTGTTAGGTTTTTTTTGGGGGGGGAGGGGTTGGATTTGTTTGTTTTTGACAGTACTCAGGACCTTACGCTTGCTCTACCATGTCCCCAAGTCCTTTTCGCTTTAGTTATTTTTCAGATAAGAGTCTTGAGTTTCTTCTCAGGGCCAGCCTCAGACCCACAATCCTCCTACCTACTCCTACCACCTAGCTGAGATTACAGCACACACAACCATTCCCCACTAATTTGTTGAGATGCTCTTGTTAACTTATGCCCAGTTTGGCCTTGAGCCATGATCCTCTCAATCTCTGCCCGTGGGCAGAGCCATGCTAGCCTTGTTTTTTCTTTTTTATTTATACAACAAAAAGTCAGTAAGGAGCTATTCATTTTCTTGGTAAAAATAATATGATTCATAAGTAAAGATGCCTATTTACAGAAATATCTGATCAGTGGAATCATTTCAGAGTCCTATTTAACTACGTAGTAAGTTTAGCAGTAGGCTTGTACAAACTATAAATATTTTCAGTTCTTACGTAAATCATGCAAGACCTTTTTGTTCGGTGTGAACATTTTGCTGAGTGTAATTATGAATGTTTTATTGAATGTGGCTCATAATAGTTATCGAGGCTGGAGGTATATAGGTCAATGGTAGAGTTCATGCTTACCATGCTTGAGGCCCTCGGTTCAACCCCAGCAACACCCCACCTCCGCCGCCCCCTGCCAAAAATTCTTGAGCCATTAGAACTGTCCAATAGGTTTTGGGGTTTTGTGTTTTAGTTTTCGTTTTGTTTTTGCTGTATGTGGATCAGTCCCACTGGAGGCAAGCACCTTGCCACTGAGCTGTATCCCTGAAGTAGATTTTTTAAGATCAGTCACTAATGTTTGGGTAAGACTGTGCTGTACATACTAATCTGTAAAATCTTTTTCTAGTAAGGGTTTTACTTCATCAATATCCATTTAGTATCCAGAAATATAAAGCTCTTTCTTTTGTAGTTGAATGGATTTCATTAAAATTATGCCTTGCTTAGTTTACTAAAAACTAAAATTTCAGTAATTTAAAATGAATTTAATCAGGTATGAAAAATATCTAACCTGTAATAAACAAAAATTATATTATCTAACCATTTTGAAATAACCCAGCCACCTAGCAGATCTGCCTGCCACGTGGTGAGCAGAGCATGAAAGGACTGAATTGTCCTTAGGCAATTTTATGTTTCAGTTCCTTACTGCTAAATCTCATGCACTTAACTACATTTTGCTACACTGCCTAGTCTATGCTTTGGCTTCATTTTAGAGTATCTATTGAATTATGCAACCAAGATTTAATTTCTTCAAAATTCTATCAGATTTTAAATTATGGTTTGCTTTGTATTCAGTCATGTGGGCACTCGTAACTTCAGGCTAAAAACATAGGAAATCCATGCCAAAAATAATACTCCATGGATGAAAAAGTATAGAAATAATGTCCTTAGTATTTATCTTATCAAAACAACCTATATTTATGTATATCTAGAGTAGTCAATGTTACTCCTCTCTGTTCTGCTTCTACACCATCATTAACTATATTTCAGTCCACTCTACCTTATGATGAAAATATAAAGAAACATTTGTATTCTAGCTCACATGTCACTGGAAATGGAGATACTTTTTTTTTTAAACTGAGATCTGTCATATATTTGTGATTTTCTGTATCAGCTTAAATTAAATCAAGAGGGTTTTAAGTTTACTTAACACCAGGCACAGGTGGCTACTCAGGAGGTAGAGATCAGGAGGATGACAGTTCAAAGCCAGCCCAAGCAAATAGTTTTCAAGACCCTATCTCAAAAAACCCTCTCACAAAAAAATCGGACTGGTGGAGTAGCTCAAGGTGAAGGCCTTGAGTTCAAGCCTCAGTACCGCAAAAAAAAAAAAAAAAAAAAGTATACTTAACAGCTCCCTGAAAGAAAAATTAAGCTGATATCATTAGTTCACAGTTAAGAAGCCCCCATTGTGCAGATTTAAGTCATGTTGCTGATATGTGGTATTACAAAGCCACATTACTAAAAATGATGTTTACATATTTTTACACACTTTTATAACCAGTCTATTAGCTCAGTAGCTTTGATCAGCTTCTGGTGATTATGACTGTAGTTTGTATGTTTCTTCTGTGTTCAATAAAGAAGAATATATTAAATAAGCAATGATTGTTAATACTTATTAAACAAGAGGGTAAGAAAGGCCTCTTAGCTAAAGAGGCCAGCCAGGTGGCTGCTACAGTAATCAAGATGAGAGGTAAAGAAGGCTTGCTCTAAAGAGGTGACAGAAAAAGGAAGGAAGAAATAGATGCCCATATGAATTGGTGATAGTACACTTATGAGTAAAGAAGAAGAAGAATGCTTTAAAATCATTCAGTGTTTTGAGCTGGGAATTGGGGATGAACTAATGGTAGCATAGCAAAATCAGGAATCCTAGGAAGGGCAAACCATGAACTTATTCAAAAGCATATTATTTATGTTGGTGTACCCATCATTCCTCATGATGAATTATTATCAGAAAACTTGCTATATGAGTTAATACATAAGTTCCCTATAGTACTAAAAAGTGATGTGAGATGAAGCACATTAATTAGTAATTTTATTTTACAACTTCCACCATCATGACCCACAAATACTTTTAAAAACCACAGGGCTGGATACAGGAAGACACTGAAGTACTGGGAGTGGGGATATACTAACTACCCCTATTTAGCTTAGTGAAGCCAGCTGTGGTGTTCTGTGGAATCATGCCATGGGGAGTCAAGCAATAATGTAGCACAGTGCTGCCCCAGAAAAAAATGGGTACATAACAATCATCACATAACAGAACTGAGTGCCAAGCTCTGAACACACACAGGTTTAGTTTTAGGCATCACCTAGTAGAAATAATTGTCAGTGAGGGATGAAGTAGTTGAAAAATAGGCCAGAGATGAAGAGAGTTCAGACATGAAGGTGACAGTGAAATCATAACCATCCACCTTCCTCGCAGTTCCGAGTCAGTTCACCACTTTTTAAAATAAATTATTTGGAAGTGAGGACTACTTTGACATCACATTAGGAAAGGAAGAA